GCGGTGGCTCCTCGCCTCTGGAATAACCTTCCCCCTGACATCCATGCGGCTCCCTCGCTGGGTATTTTTAAAAATCAATTAAAAGCACTGATGTTTCGGCAGGCCTTCCCCGCCAATTCCTGATCTTTCCTCTTTTTTCTCTCCCCTCGTCTTTGTCCCACCTTGTCTAAGTTTTTCCCCTTATTTTGCTTTGCTTTATTTAAAATTGTTTTAATCATATTGTAATTACGCTTGTTGTAAGCCACCTAGAGTGGTCTTAAGTGGCTAGATAGGCGGGATATAAATAAAATAAAATAAAATAAAATAAAATAAAATAAATAAATAAATAAATAAATAAATAAATAAATAAAAGTAACTTTTCAAACCTTGGTTAAGAGAGTGAAATGAACAACTGGCTATAGCATGGAGCTATAGTCGTTGATTAAGTGTAAGTAAAAGCTCACAGAACTGCCACTGGGAGAGGGCCAAAGAAAAGGTAGTCCTCACAAGGGTAACTGAATAGGAGAATTTGAAGGAGAGAAGCTGCATAGGGAACCTGAAGAAACAAGACATGAAGGTACTGAAAAGTGGTACCATAGGGGAAGTAGCACCAAAGCAGAAGTAGGCTGACAAAAAGCTGTAGCTAACAGTGGAAGGATGCGTGCAGTTCTCATGGCTATTGTCATCAAAGGGAAAAGGATGCATAAGAAGATGCTCTGAGATTCAGACCTAGGTTCCTGAGAACCTGCACAGGCACTGCTATACAGGCTTGTGACTATCCTTTAGGACTGCTGCAGTGTGATGAAGTAATCGCCTGTTTAGTTATTGTCACTGGATGGTGTGGTTGTCTGCCACTGTCATTTCTAGTAATATAGTAATTTGTGAAATGTCTTCCACAAAGTGTTCTTAAATAAAATTGGCACTGCCAGTCACAGTAACACACAGTCATCTTATGGGCTAATTCAGTTCAAGAGTTCCCCCAAGAGCCATTCCAGCAGCACAACACAGAAGAAAACCTGTAATGTGTATAGCAAAATCCTGGCTCCCAGATTACTTTTTTTCCCTGAAGTTGATTCTGTCGATTACATGATTGACTAGCTACATTACCATTATCGTATTTAAAAAGACGCAAACAGGGAAAGTGTGTGCAAGCGTACACATAAACACACACACACGGGGGGGGATAGCAAAACAAAACAAAAAACCCAGGCAAAAGCAAGAAAATCAAGCAAGCAAGCAAATAGAAGGAACAATATAATTAAAGTATCTCAAAACCCCAAACTGCTAGAATTTACCAAACTGCTAGAATTTAGGGAGGTTTCTCTCCCTTCTACCACTTGATGCCTTCTCTTCTCTTATTTGAGTCCAAAAGGCAAAAAAGGCAAGGCAATAAAAACAATCCAAGAACTAAAGGACCAGAGGGTCAACAATCTCCAAAGAAATTGCAGGATGGTTAAAAATATAGTCCAGAAAATAATCCTAAGAAAGCACCCAAGAAGTAGGCTGCATGATGGTGGCAGCAAAAACAATCCAAAGAAATGGGGAGAAATCTCTCCCAAAATCGAGGGGGGGGGAATGGCAAAAAAAAGAGCAAATCCCACATGTAGGTACAAGTCACAGGCAGTAGAATCCAAGATGGAGGGCAGCAAGGATCTCTCACACTCACCAAGAACTGAAACAAGCCCTCTTGCAGATTCAAATTTCCCACACTCCCTTCCTGGGCATTCTGATTGGCTCCTGACAGCAGCCCTCCTGTTGCTACGGGATGAAAATAGTGATTCGGCAGACAAAGAGGGAAAGAAAGGCTAAATGAAAGTGGGAAACACACACAAAAAAGTCACATTCATGTAGCCCTCTTTTATTAATACAGATAATTCATGTTTAAGAGATCCTCTTTCAATAATCACAAATGGGTTATGATAAGAAAAAGAAAAGAAAAATCAGCCTCTTTTTGCATCTCCATCCTCTTTAGTGCAAACACGAAAGGCCCATGGCTAACCTCAGGCTCCCTTGACCAGCCCACTCCTGCAGGCCACCTTACCAGCAGTAGTGCATGTGGGCCCTGAACTCCCAGCCTTAACACACTCTTGTTATTATATGTGTAAGAAAGAGAACAGGCAGAAAGGAAGAGAGACAGTGGCTGAGAGTTAATAAGTCAACTGTCCCCGTTTTGCAACCAAACCAAGCACAGATGAAAGCAGCAGCAAGTAACAGCATTTTAAAATTTGGGACACAGTGCATTTTTCTGAGTTGTGGCAGGAATGAAGGAATGAATAAATGATGGGTGTGAGGACTTGTTCTTTTAGTTGAACATTTGAACGTATGGGATGAGCTGTCCTTGGTCCCACAAGAGGGAAAAGGAGGATATACTGTACTGTATATGAAAGAAATGAGGAACTGTATGAGAGAAAGCTTGAATGTGAGAAAATATTTTGAGTACATCTCTCTATCTGCATGAATCCCCACTTTTTGCCCCCATTTCCTCAGCCCCCATGGGAGCTCTGCCTACTCTGGCCTGCTATGCCTTCTGCAGAATGGGCACCAGGCCTGGTTGGTAACTGAAACCATACAAAGAGTGTGAAATTCCCCTCGAGTTAGAAAGCCTCATTTCTGACTAAGAATGTATTTACCGGTATGTGTGATGTTTAACTTCATGGATTCTGTCAGTCCCTACAACCAAACGGGTTGGTTTCACCGCCAGGCCCTCCTATCTTCTACTGCCTCGCCTCATTTCTGACTAAGAATGTTTCTATGTGATGGATTCTGTCAGGCCCTACAACCAAACGGGTTGATTTCACTGAGTAGAGACTCGCCTAAGAGATTGGGCGGTGCAGCCTTGATTAGGCTTATTATTTAGATGGGGTCAGTATTAAGCGTCTTCACTTGTTGTCAAGGCCTGGCTACGATTACTTGGGAGTAAAGGTCGCCTGAGGGCACTGGGGTAAGTACGCGAGTCCGGGGCTGCAGCCACGATCCAGTTCATCTCTAGGGGATGTGTGTGGGGGGGAGTTCCCTCGCCGGCGGGGTATCCATCCCCTGATGAGCGGCGGGCAAGAGGCTCCTGCCTGGTGGGGGCGAGCTCGGCCTAAGAGGGCCACCCGGGGCCCGGGCTGCCTCCCCGCCTCGGAAGAGCCACTGCTGGGGCTCCTCGCGAGCGGCGCTTCCCTTCTTCTCGGCCAGGCACGGGTCGATCCCTCCTCTTTTTTTTTCCAGTGTCCCACCCGGGCCAACGCGGCTGTTCCCGCCCCCACAGAGCCCAAGCAGCAGACGGGGAGTGGCGGCAGCGGCGGCGGTGAGCGAGCCTCGCGTTCTCCGCGCTTCCTTGGGGGGAAAAGCCAGCCGGGAGGGAAGCGGAGCGGGAGAAGCGGGCGGGTTTTCCCGAGCGGGTCCCGCCGAGGCGCTGACGGTGCTTCCGGGCGTGTGCGTTTAGCCTCGGTGGGGGGAAAAAAAAGCCGGGATGTGCGTCCGGGTTGGGCCGGCTCGCCTTCTGCTGGCTGCCCGTCGTCGCCCTGGAGGCGCCTCTCGCGCTCCGCCACAGACGCGCGCAGATACACACACACGCGCGCAGACGCCTATCGCGACGCTGCGGGTGAGTGAGGCGAGGCGAGGCGAGGCGAGGCAGCCCTAGGGAGAGGGCGCCCGGGGTCATCCGGTGGCTGGGCGCGGCCCGGGCAGCCCCCCAGAGCCCGCCGGAGGAAAGGTCGCCTGGGGAAAGGCGGAGGGGGCCGCCGCCCTCGCCGTCCTCCTCCTCCTCCTCGGAGCTGCAGGATGGGGCCCGTAGGGCGTGGCGGGGATGGGCCGGGAGGGGGAGGTGGGCGGGGGGGTGGCCA